TTTTAGTCATTCTGTGGAAAGTGGAAAAGCAAACCCTGAAACCCCTCGCTATTAACCGATCGTCTCATCGTTTTTAATTCAACCTCGAAAATGAGGAAAAATTGATCGATGAAACGCAAAACTCGTGTCGTTTCTTAATTTCAGCTAATGCATAGTGTGCCGAGGTGTGTTAGAGAAGAAGTTGATTTGGTAATCTGATTCAATTTTGACGCGTTAAAACTGAAACGCGCGATCGGTGGCAAAAACTGGACAATGAACAGAACCAGATTTCATACAGAGCCATGTGCTTCTAATTTAGCGGATCGTTACATGTAAATACGTCTATATTTTCAGCGGCTTGCACAAATTAATCTGCAACATTGATCCATTCTCCGTTGTGCAAACAACGAGGAACACAAAGTCTCTGTTTGTTCCGTAGTTGTAATTCTAGCGGAGGAAAACTTTTTTTTTCAACAAACTTCCAAATGTTCGATTGGTAATTAAACGTCCCAATGTATTTTCCCGGTTATCGGGTAAAAAAAAGCAGTTCAAATTTAAGTTCAAAATCAATTTTGAAATTTTCACGAGTTCCGAACATTTTCAATCTGCCTGGGACACGATTAGTTTTTTAGACAGCTTAAACACTCGCCGCTAATTAGGATTCCCTAAGTTCCGGAACTGCCGAGAGGATGTAAACGTAGAATCGAGCAATTTAAAAGTAAACGAATCCCACTTTCGACCAACTCCAGCTGCTCCCACCCAGTGCAAAATTTCTACCCACCACGGCGAGCCATGCTTAATTTTCTTTTTCATCGAGCTACGTACATTCCTTTTTCCTTTACCCAATTTTTGATGTTAGATCATATCACGGTTTGATCAATTGTCTTATAACTGACGCTTTCTCGAGGTTCTTCGAAAGCAGAGTCGATCAGAATATCTATTTATACTTGCATAAACAACTGGCCAGTAATAATAAGCGTAAGTATTCCGGGTCGCTGGTCGAGTATGGCTGCGGTATTAGAACGAAGATCGAAATCGTGCAAAAATCAAGTTCTCTTCTTTTCTTCGCGTGTCATTGCCTCCCCCGTTCCGCTTTGTCTCTCAATCGTCCCCTTTTGCCATTCGTTTGGCCTCCCTCTTCGACGTCCCACTTCTTTTCTCTCTCTCTCTCTCTCTCTCTCTATCCCTCCGTTTCTCTAGTCCAGCCATCAAACGTTCGCTTGGATATGCATGTCGTTTGCGGCGAAGGGATGGAACGGGATGGTAGTGCGAGCCTCTCTGTGTTGACAGGTAAATATTTGTCGCGGCATACACCACCACCGTCAACCACTGTCGACCACTGTCAACCGCCACTACCATCATCTCCGCATTCGCGTCCTCCATGCCCGCTGCACCCTGCCGCCCGTCATCCTTTCTCTTCCTTTTCATCGAAGAGACTCCGAATCTTATAGACGTCGCTCGATCGACGAAGAGTCGACGAGGGCTTCGCGAGATAACACTGATCTTGTAATTTCATTTTAAAGGGATGTGATCTAGTGTGTCGGGTTAAATAAGACCCCTTTTGCATTTTCCGATGTGTTAACCAGTGAAAATATTATTATGTAATAATAAATATAAATTATGTGCACGAAATGCATACGATTCTAATTACTATTTGATCTACTGTGGAGTGGCATCTATTTATTAAGGTATCTTTGACTGGGAACGCAGTACTCGACCAATCATAAACACCATCGAATATTCAATGTTTGCGCTAACAATCAACGAACTGTTGACAAATATTGTCCTTAAACTATTGCTTCTAGAATATAAACCAACAAAGCTGTAGCACCGGTGCGGTGTTGACGGGCTATTCGACAACGCGTCCACATCAAACAAGCCCGTTCCTTAGTCATCTTTGTATCGGCGGCTATAATCCAGTGAAAACTTCATCGGGTTTCATTCAGAGGGGGATCGTGTTATTCGTTAATCGCATCTTAAACGAAATAGTCCTCGCGTCGACACTTCACACAAGTCAACAAATTCACTTGTAAAATCGAACCACTATTATTTTTATCAGCTACTCAACTCCTCTTGTTTTATAAGGATTGATCGGTCTCTTTTTACACTGTTTAACTCGTCGACGAATAAAGAAATAAATAAAAATCATGTAAATTCGTTATTACGATTTTCTACCTCCGAGGTCGGATTCGTTAATCAACGAAGACTCGATAGAACCGCAAAGATCGGTCAACAGCGTTATACTTGGCCGAGAGGGATGAGGTCGGTTACGAACGCTAGCCGTGAACCGTGGGCAAAAAGGAATCGGGACGAGTGAAACGGAACGCAATCGAGTCTTTGTTGCGCTTTTACCTGGAACCCGACTAGGCCCGCCACTGTCTGCCCCTGTTTGTCCCGCGCAAACTTTGTTTTTACAAATAGAACCACATGTTCCTCCGTTCATCCTCTACCCACCCCATTCACTTCCACCCTCGGGCCCCGCCACCCTCGGTTTGTCTCTCGCGTCCACCTTCTTTTATTCTTCCTTTCCGTTTCCGTCTATCGTTCGCTCGCGTCCTCTCTGTTCCACCCCCGTCTTCGCGCCTTCGCCCCTCTCACCGGCCGCCTTCCAGACCCACACCACCCCCTTGCGCACACACGCGACAGGTGGTAAAGTATAACAAAAAGGCAAGTTCGTTCAAACGGTTTGCGTTGGATTCGCTTTGCACTTCGGAATTTCTTTGGAAAGCCGTACGCCCCGTCAAATATTAGCCCGCGACTGACTTTTGTGACTCGTGGATCCGCACTGATAGAGCCACTCGACTGTAGCTACTCGTCCCTTCCCAACGATCTTTCGAACGATGTTTTAGTTTCGACCGATCCAATCTCGTATTGTTCGGGATCAGATTCTTTTTATCGCACACGATTCAAAATGATGTCGCGAGGAATTTCATAAAATCACACGTTCATCAGACCGTCGCTGGAACACGCGACAGAACGATGTTATGTTTGCAGCTAATTGATTCTTCTTTTAAATTTGTCTTCCGAGAGAAATCTCAGAAGTTCGAGGTGTGTCTTCGAGCAGACGCGCGAGCCTCGACTCGAGAAGACCGTTAATTAATATTTATGAGCAAGCTACGCGCATTTCTGCGTAGAACTTGTTCAATGAGTGCCAATTGTCAGCGGCATTCGCTTAAATTGCTCATTGAATATTCATGGAAAGCGGCTACGGGAATGCAGCATTAACCGATACCTAAATATGAACGAGAAGTGTGAAGAAATATCAAGGAGTTCCAACGATCACGCTGTCTACCCAAATTTCATCGTCGCATACAATTTGTACGGTGTACCTCTATTCCTTTGGCACACGTTTAATTTTTGCACGTCGTGTTAATGTTTACGCAAACGAATTCCAAAACACAGAAATAATATAAAGTTAAAACGTCCTGCCGATAGAAATAGAAAAAACGTAAGTGACTCTACTGTTTTAGTGATTCCAGCCATCAGACATAAGCTACGGATGCATTTTCTGTCATGTCATACATTTATTGCGTTTCTACTCGCAACATCATGTAAATACAAATATAACTCTTCTGCACGCTTTACTTTCTTATGTGTATTAAAGGGTTTTCAACTCGTGAAATAAATAAATAAATAGATCGATCGAGAGGGTAGATACTCTAAACCGACATCCCTCGCGTTACTTTATCTGTAATTTATACTACAAGAACTTCATTCAATTTTTTTCTACCATTCGAAACAGGGAAATGTAAATTTGGCTGGGCCACGAGAGATCCCGCGTACCACGTGTAGAGAAGGTAGAAGGTGTATACTAATTGAAGGGCCGGTTAGGAGGAAGACAGTAGCGAGTCTCTCGATTAACACCTCCTCCGGACCACACGCAGACTCACTCTTTCAAGAATTTCCAGTCCTATTTTTATTTATCGACGGCACGATCTGCGCGTGTAATAACGAGACCGATCTTCCTCGACAGGATCGTCATTTTACCTCAATTTTAAAATTGGGAAGATAGCCACTGTAAAAATATTGAGTGTTAAAAATATACTCGCTAGTTCAAGGACGTAGAAATTTGAATCCTCTGTTTGTCGATCTGAGAGTCTTAGTAGAATCGAGAATAGAATCTGTGAGAACGCCTGGAGAACTTTCAAAATCTGTTCGCGTAGTAAAAGTGTAGGAACGATTTAAGAAAACATCAACAGCGTAAGAAAGAAGCGAGAGACGGGCGAAGGTAGGGACAAAAAGCGACTACTTTCGGAAGTTCATGAAAGTTCGTTTACACAACTCTTTCCCGTACTGTGATGCATTATGCTCTCGAGACGGACTGACCTGAAATCTTCGGACTCTGCGCTGCTCTTCACCAAGAAACAGCATCACGACTCTCGTCATTCCGGTGCGCTTTCTGCGGATTCGTCCGTTATACTATGTGTTCCGGAAATACAAAATAGGCGCGCCAAACGGATTCATCGTTTTTAGAAACATAATTTCCTCCCCCCTTTTTATTAGTGTTTATTACTCCTATAGAACGCGGAAGGGAAAGCTCTCGAGTATAGCGGAAGTAATAAGAGACGCTACGACGCACGTAGATATTTCTAAATTCGGTTTTGCAGTTGTACTCTAGGTACACAGCAAATTATATCGATAAATTTTCATCTGACTATGTCAGATGCAGAATATCATTTACATAACACAACAATTACAAACAATATTAATAGCTTAACTAATTACAACTTAATAATAAGCACCACCCGTTACAGCAGTGTTTGCTAAGAACAATAAAGCAGCAGATATAATTGTATGCAAAGCTAATATGCAAAATATGTAAGGAACACGAAAAATACTGTGAACAATAAGATATTCTATTATTTTTACTCTTCTGTTTGCATTTTCTCGTTAATTTATATTTTTGTCTTTAAATAAATCCAAAGGAATAAGAAGAAAGTAAAAGAAAGTTTAAAGCCGAACGTAACGGATTCTACCGAGCGGTGCATATTATTCGACAGGCTAGAAAAAGGTGGACTCACGTATCTGGTGTCATATTCTACCCGGTATGCTGTCCAGGCGACTACTCCTCAGCCCGATGGAGTACTTGGTCCGCGTGCGACTCCTGAGGGTACTCGAGGCCGCGTCGAGAGAGACCTTTCTACATGGGTGGTCCATTCTCCCTACGCATGCATTATATAAGTTCAGTAAAGTTCACACCAAGGATGCACGTGCGTCCGTCACCCGTCCAACGGAATTCAATAATTATATCCTAAACCATTCTCTCACGCGCTCGGAAGAAAAGCGTCGTATTCCTACAGACAGGTCATGACTGATAGGAAGTGAAACTTCGTTTCTATCTCGAGAATGGTTCGAATGTTTAATTCAATGTTTAGGAACGAGAAGGAGTCACATACATATACATTTTTATCGTTGGTACATCGAACGATTAGATCATCGTTTTAGAAATTAGTAAAATCCTATGTGGAAATAAACCCTGAATTCTTTTTAATATTAATTGACGATAAATCTTGACCTGTTGATGAAGTATAGTATTCGAGTAGAAAAGATATAAACGGCCGAGTGTTAGGGACATAAGGAATACCACCGGAGGGGAGAGCAAAGAGGCAACGAGGTCGATTCATCATACCCTGTCGTATCGTGCTACCGAACTCGCGATATAACTTACAAGGTGTAGAATACTGAGAGAAACCGTGGCCTGTATTCCGAAGATAAGCGTGGACCCTATATCCCAGTTATGTCATCGTCACCCATCCGCGCGGGATCAGACTCCTTCCGGTACCAATTACGTTTCTAATGTTTGCGTGGTCACGGGAGGATTATCATCCCTTCGGGAATAATATAGGAGTTCTCCGGTGCATCGTAAACGGAGCACGATACAACGTAAAGTTGTCGATTTTTTTCTTATATCATGTTCGATTCCAAACTCAGTACCATTAAATGTACGACACAAATGTAAAGAATATAAATATAAGAACTGTACGCAAGTTTAGTATTAACACCGAGGAGTCTCCTCGGTGGTATTAATACGTATTATTGTAAATTTGTTCAAATGCGTAATTGCGTACCTACTTGCTGTTCGTCATTGCCGTAGACAAATATCAGCCCGCATTAAGATCGTCGTCAAAGATTGATTCTTTGCTTGATTTATCGAGTATTACACAGGTTTTAGTACAAACTACGAACTTCCAGACGTAATATTAACAAATTCAAGACTCATTTTTCTGTTTCAAACTGAACTGCACATCACTGCCATTACCACAGGTACTTACGATCTGAAGGCGGCTGGCTTCAACCGCACATGCCGCACCATCTGACGGTGGCGTGGGTGAACCACGTCCTCCAGCGAGTGTCGCCATTTTGTTCTCAGTTTCTCGCAGTTTCTCGGCATGTGCAGAAGAGAGACAAGTGTGTTGAAGAGTGGTGAAAGATTTTCGAAAATATAGCCCGTAAAATAGAATGTCGTTTGCTGCGAAAACTACGTTCACGTTATGCTGTTCTGTGTCCATCGGAATAATAGTCTACGTGCATTATAATCAAGAATCTCAGAGGTAATCGAATCACCTGTTCCGGATTATGGGTTACGTAAACGAGGCATTCGTTCGCGCCAAGTAGCGGGAAGCAACGTTGTTCTCGAACAGTTCCTTCAATTTTCAATTGTTGTTACAGAAAACAGCTTCATTTGGGCGTAGAACGCGATATTCAGCGTCAAGAACAACGAAAGATACAGAATTTGTACATGCTCGAGCAGCAAAAGCTTCTGACGAAGGAACTGCGTGAAGCAAATAAACTCGAGAATTATGAGACTCCAGCTTGACATGTAAATACCTCAGTTGTGATTATTTCATTACTTTTAGTCTCCGCGCGTATCTGATTTATTTACTACGTATTACTTTCGACATTATTTCTTTTCTCCCATATTTGTGTATTGTGTTTGTTGTCGAATTTACTGTTAACGAGTATGAGTGCAGAAGAACCTTCGGATCAATCAGGTAAGTGGATATTAGATTCGTTTAAAAATTCCGATCATTTGAGTACTCTTATATTTTTCATTTTTAGACTTGATATGTGTAGAAGAAAGCCTCATGAGTTTGGAGAAGTTAGATCGGGCCTCGCCCGATCTGTGGCCCGAGCAGAGTATGTATATTTCTATTAATTCATTGCAACAGTTTCTTTCCCATTTTTCAAGCCTCATGTTTCACGTTACTATGGAATGTAAATGTTTGTATTTTATTTCAAATCGAGCACGAACTTTTACACTGATGTTACAATATGTTAAATGATATACTGCAAATGAATAACGACAAATGTTAGTTCCAGGTGTGCATGAATTTGTAGCCCAGAATTCACCTCAAACAGAACCTTCCTCGTGGGCTGGTGGTTTAACACCAGATGACATAAATCAATTGCATCGTGAGTTATTCGTTTCTTCAGCCTTAGAATTTTTATTCAATAATTTACAACAATTTTTTGTTTGGTCGCGTTTTAAATAACATCTTTTATATTTCAGAATTAGGAAATTTGTCAGTGGCTAGTTTGATAGTCGAAGTAAAGAAGCTACACGACACGGCTTATCAGTTGGGTTTAGAAGAGGCGAAAGAGATGACTCGTGGCAAATACTTAAACATTTTTAAACACAAATAAAGCAGTCTTGAAATATACCATCGATATTTTATTAGTCTAATTAATTGATTCTTAAATTAAATGTTTAACAGTTTTCAAAGATCCATCTTATGTACTTTTGTACATCCACAAAAACCGACGGGAAGTTACGAACAACGCTGCAGTCAGAACCGTACGATAGAAGGCCTAACTGGGAATTGTATACAGAATTATGTTCCTGTAAATTATATTTAGCTATTGGAATATGAATAAATTTATACCAAGAAATATGTATCCTCGTGTTTGGATAAAAGCGGGCTCCCACTGTATCCTCCGCAGGGCGTTTCATTTCCTATAGCACATAGTTCAACCGATAATCCTTGATCATAGTAATTAGTGCACTGGTCGGTTGATAGTATTTTCATCGTCAAGGCCTGTTGCTTACAAGGTTTCGCTTGAATATAAAATGTACACGTTACATAATTATATTTCTCGTTTCAGTCTGGTTTTAATTTACTTGTTTGTCTCGCTGTTTTTCCCCATCCTGCGAGAACAGAAGTTGTCCCAGTGTTTAGATACCACTCTCTTCGTATAAGGCACACTGGTTGTACAGTCGCTTGAAAAAATGAGAAAAATTTATTTACTTTATTCATCTCAATTTGAAGAAATCTACTTTATTTACAGTTCTCTCTCTCTTACATTATTTATAGTTCTCAAGGCACTCGAGTCCCATTATTTTATACTTGCCTGCATATCGAATCGGTTCGTTCAAGCGCAACATCGCTATATTATTCGCGAATATTTCCGACTGATAATTAGGATGTTTTATCACGTACGATATATCGAGTCTTTGCGCGTCAGGATTGGAAATAGATTCGTCATCAAGCTCGCCGACGAGCACGGAATCCCTATTGAAAAAACAAATATTAAGACTTCGATATATGTATTATTACAGTCTAGTTTAATGTATAGAAATATCCACAATTTATAACGAGTAGATTTGGCGAGAGCGCAACTCGCAGTAGTTAATACGGTCCGTTCGTTTAGAATTGCTCCACTGCAAGGATAGACTATCTCTCCTGTATTACCTTCAATTATATCGATAAAATATTAATACGTACTTTGGAAATCGAATTCGTAGAGCTTTATTGCTACGAGCTCTCTACTTCACTTACTTTTGAAACCAATCTTAGCGACGAAAGGGTACATTTTTCTAGAATTTACATCGCCATAAGCGATAGCTCTGCCGCATTTCGGAATCGAATTCGATCTTGCGAATACACCGTCTCTTCGCGTAAGAATTGGATTCGCATTATTATTATTTATATCGCAGCAGACTTTCGGTTTTGCGCGCTCGTAGCCACAAATTGCTTGACGAAATCTACGTCGATTAATAATAATTAGAATAGTTCTACTAACTGTCTGTCGTTGAGACTGATCTACCTGTGAATCGGAAGTTGATTCTGGTTCATTAAATTCCAAACAGCCAGGCAGTGATCAATAAATGTACACTCTTTATCACTTGGGCAATCGATCGTATTAACTGTGTACGTTCCGGTGAAAAACTGTTCCGCCTGATCGGTCAATATTAATATCGAAGCAGAGTAAAAGAGAGTAGATAGGAAAAACATTTTTCTCTGGACCGACGTCGTTTAAAAGATATTCGAAACTGACCTGTTTGACAGATCCTATCATTTCGTAACAAACGGTTTTATTACGTTCAGAGCATTATTCGTCCTTCCGGCGGAAATCTCATTGTCATGCAAAATACGGTCCGCGAATGGTCAAACGAACAAAGAATATGGGGCGACGTTGCGGTTCATTATACTATTTTATTTAAATATCGCAGGATATATTTTATTAAAAATAATTGTCTTTTATTATAAGTCGAATTAATAGCTTATTTAATATTATGACGGCTTTGTTAAGGGAGACTTGACAATTCTCTATCCTTTTAGATGCTATAAATATAAATTAATTAGTGGCAGTGTACATGGCGATTCTCGTTGGCTTCGATAGCAATTTGTACGATGTCTGTGCCTCTCACGAAATCTACTGCGACAATGTTAGCGCTGTACTGCCAAAGAGTGCTGTACCAATTAGACACGTTTAAATTGACTCTGTACGCCATATCTCGGAGACCTCCCAGTTTGTTGAAAATAATGTCCTTAGCAGTCGCTGTTAACTCTGCCATGGCCGACCAAGGTCTCGCTCCCGACCTACGGAATAATCATATAATTATCAACGAACAAGTCATTTTTCAATGCCCGAAATATTTTACCTATTCTGGTTTTCTATCGAGAACAAATATTTGTACAAATCGTTGAGTTTCCTGACGTTTCCCCATTGATGCAACACGCAAGACCACATGCTAGCGTGCTCAGCGACGATCTGCGAGTTCTCGTAACCGATTATCAATCTCTTTCCGGTAGACCAAATGTCGTTCAATTTTGTATGCCATCCTTGATTATTTATGAAATAATTCCGAAACTCGTCCTCCAAATATGCCACCAGTGCACGATGATCGGATATGTTTTTGAACCCTCCGAAAAATAAAATAAGTGATTATCATTTTTATGCAAATTTATTTACGTCAGTTAAAAAACTGTGTTTTGTGCAGAGAGAATTCTTTTATCTTTTCGGTATTTTAATTATTCATTCAGCTTCCGATATTCTGCATATTTTTATACGTCACGTGGATTTTACGATAAATTCATATCCCACAGTGTATTTATTATCGTTATGTAAAATTGAAAAATAAATACCAATAGGGAATTCGTGGATATCCATTATCACAACTTCTTCCGTATTGTCGAGGAAAGTTTTTATTTGATCCACGACTGTTTTTAACGACACCGAGCGATAAAACGGTCCATGATTCGTCCACCACTTCTCTTTAGTCCCGGGATAATGTCCCACTCTGATATCTAGATATCGCACGCCGTGTATCAATTGGCCAAGGATATCTAAATCCTAAAAACAGCATGATTTATTTAGATATAATATAAAACGCGCGAGCTTGTGGTTTGATTTTCAATTGTGACATTTACTTGCGTTACAGCGTACTTTGGGATAAAGCCCGTTTTCGAGCCATCCTCGTCGTACGCCGCCGAGTCGTGAGTTCCAGGTAAAAATATTTCATTCATTCTCAAAGGCCCAAGAATATCTTTCCTATCTCGCATCCACGTCGGTTGCAGTTTTAAACAATCCATTTTCTTAACTCCACTGTCCGACGACCATATCACTCCATATTCTAAAAATATTTAAAGAAGAGTATACAACAGTTGAAATTATTCGTAGAAAAATTGAAACCTACTTGTGCATTTTTGTACGAACGGTAGATTCGAGCTGGGCACGTATTCAGCTTGTATTCCAGTTGTCTGATTGCCATTCGGGCTATTGGGAGTCAGAGTGTAGATCACGTGCGGGGATCCAGTTTCACTCTCTTCGTAGAGCGAGATCGTATCCCCGGGTGTGAAATTGATGTTGTTCCAATAAATTTCTAACTCGCGGATCTTTGACTTCGTCATTATAGGCGAGACAAACAAGCCGATGCGCGATTGCCCTAAATAATTGACGCGTGTCGTTTTAAATAAGAACAATTCAGTATTTTCAAAAATATTCACTCTGTACGTAAAAAATTGTACTTACATTGCTCTGTATCGCAAACTTTCGCGTTCGAGATTGTACTGACTATCGCCAAGATCGAGGCAACTATTACGCTTACTCTAGAGCTCTCCATTGTCTTTCTGCAATTGCAGGAAATAACTAATTATACACTTTGAGAAATCTTCGACAATTAGCGAGCGAATGAACGCTTGTTGAGAAATGTTTTTTCAAAGTAAAGTAAGTAATACGTACGCGTTTGGTTTAAATTTTGAAATATGCCGATCGTCGACCTCGGGAAGTAGCACGACTCGTCGACTGCCAGCGAGAACTGATTTCCGTTGCGCGTGGATGTCGTTTAAATCTCTGACCAGACAATGGTAAACCCTTTGAGAACGCGACAATTCTATTAGACTGAAGACGGAAGGCTCGCTAACGTCGCATATGGAACGCTTATTAGCGTTTAACACGAAAAATGACAATATCTTTGGTACTTAATGAATGTTATCATCCGTTGAAGTCTATTTAATCGCGAGATTTCATTATTGTTTTTATCTACTCGCGATGATCGCAAATAACCGAGATAAATAAAAAATAATTGCATGAAAAAGAGCGCAATAGAATCAGCAAGATAAACAAGAACGCTGGGTATTTAGCTTGACCTATGCAACGTGATTTTGCAATAAATCTTGCCGCAACCAGTACGCATACTATTGCATATCTTTGCATTGATCCTCGCGAGATAAAGAAGCATGATGAAAGATTGATTGAACGTTTAAATGAAAATCTAATTCTGTATCTCGTATCGATCGAACGCTTACATACACATATCATATTTTTTTAATGCCAAGTGAAAAGCTATTGATAATCTGCGATTAATCTGTAAATTAGACTCTCTTCTTTAAACGACGTTTTATCTCGATTCAAATAAAGATTGTTTATAAAGGAATTCTGTGATGGTATTTATCTACTGTTGTACATGTCAGTCTCGATCGATTTTTAGACAAAATTTGCTCGTTCCGAAGCTTGAATGAAAGCTTTGAAAATGGCAAATATATGTAGATTTATTCGAGATCCGATCATGATTTATTAATTGTAAATCATTTTTAATCGAAACGTGTTACGCTCGTTAGATGTCGGTAGTGCCTCCGTGACACGAGTTTAAAGGCCCGTATCCACTTGTATTGTCTTTGCGTATATAAAATTCTATGAATTTTTCTTCTAATTTCAATATTTAACGAGTTAAGTATGATTATATGGCATTTTATTGGCATTGACAAANATTACCTATGAAAAATTTGTAATCACTATAATTTTAGCTTTTTAACAGTAATATTAATCTATAATAACAAATTCAACGTGCTAGCATTGTTTAAGTGTATAGCCTATTTAATATAACAAAATAATTCTTGTTTCTTTCTTATTTTTGTAATGATTATTAAATATTGGATAATTCCACACCGATCCATTGTTTTTTCCAGATGAAGCCAGGTTCCAAATTGCTGGTGACACAACCCGTGACATCCAAATCTTCGCATCTAAAACGTGAGTAAATTTTCACATTTCTGCATGCATCATATTCTGGGTAAAACCAGTATTATTTAAGAGATAATTATTTATCATATCGCATGATATGAATACCATGTTTAAAGTACGTTGCATGTATTTTGTGATAATTTAAATTAATCGAGCCGTAATTATTCTCGATGTCTAATTAAAATGGATAGATTTAAGAGAGATTCAATTAGTTACGAATGTGAATTGTGAAATAATTCGTTTAATGAATGCGCATCATTCGGAGACTTGAAAAATGAAGGGAAAACGGAAAGTAGATAAGTAGCTTGATCCGTTTGACGTTCAATTATTTATCTGTGTCACTTTCATATAATAAGACTATAAAATTTCACGACACTTCAATCCAAGACAAAATTTAGAAGATAAATGAGGCATACAAGTGGCAGGGATTAAATATTCGCGGACTGAAACGTCCGGATTTGATTACGATTGATCGATAGTACATTTTGCGTACGCACGCATCTGTATACTTGCTTGCCTGTTAATCGCGTTGGAATATTTTATGTCATTAGCAGCAATTTTAGTCCGTACGGTTAGCCCGGCTGTTTACACCAGCTAACTTAAACCATCGAATTATTCGTGAAATTCCGGAAAATGCACAGCATTTACTATGCGGTATTATCGACGATTATGATTCAGTTGGCGCAGAAACGCGTTTCGTGTCAATAGATTTTTACCATCATTTATGCAGTACTTGTATTTTATTTAGTTTCAAGTCAGAAAATTATTCATAAAATATAAAGGAGACGTCGGAGAAAAATTGGATGATATAAAATTTCGCCGAATAACTTTAGTTTTATAATTTTCGAGAAGCGTAGATGAGGTTTAAGATAGAAAACTGTAGGTCAGGGGATGATATTGCGAACCATAGATAATCCAGAATGCGATCAGTGGTTTACATGGTACCTACCCGGGTCGGGACCGTAGCGACGCTCGCATCAACCGGATTATGCGGATCTTACGGATTTGCAGTGGTGACGGTAGTGGCCGAGCTCGTAATGTAACGTCATAATGTATTAGGCGCACGCCCTTGAAATATACACTATACAGAATGGAATTTCCAATCTTGCGAGGGCTATTCACAATGTATTTGGGATTAGCGTTCGCGAATAGGTATATCCCGGGCGTTATATTGGAAACCGATATTCACCGGCTATACTCTTCGAGTGGCAATCCGCGCTCTCTCTCCCGCCTCTCTCTTCCGTCTGTACTCGATCTGCCCGTGTTGTTAAAGGCCATTCACCGGTTAGTTTATTTTCAACCATCGATGTTAGGTATCGTCACGGTGTCCCGCCAAACACCAGGCGCTTTGAACTTATCGTTAGCGATTCCGTTTAGGATCCCTTTGACAAAAGGGAAAGGTTACCCAGTTTACTTATCGATGTCAAGTGGTTTTATTTTAGCAGACTCTCATTGGTGACAAATTTTGTGTCCATCAAAATTAGTGGACCGAGTCAGATATGTGGACTGACGCGACGTCTTCCAGGCATTTGATATTTATATCTGACGTCTACTATGAATTATTTAGTACCACGAAGAGAGAAAAATAATTATTAAATTATGATCGTCCGCTTCCATTTTTCGTGGCTCATTGACGACTTTATACATATGTATAAACCGGTGTTCCTTATCTACCTACTCACCTTCGTTTCGCGCGATCTCGCTAAACGTGTCGCCAGACCCGGTTACTTCGTAATACGCAGTTTAGGGTGTTCTCGACGGGGAAGATACATCTCCGCTATATTTTATCCCAGTGATAACGAGACTTGTGTTCCGTCATCGGTACGCTCGAATCGGCCTCGCGATCTTTGGTAAAATAATTATTGCTCGGTCGATTCAAAATGTTCAATTTATTTTGTACGTCGATAGTGGAATCGTGGGGATGAAAATTGTACACATTATTCTATTTAGTTTGCGAGCGTACTCTTACAATTCGTACAGTCGACGGAAGTGAATCTTAAATATCGACATTTAAATTACTCGGCACATCTATTAAATCAATCGGACCTATTACCAGAGAGTCAATTAACCCTTTCATTGCCGGGGACGAGATATCGCCCCATCATTATGTCGCTTCTGTGATACTATGGAGAGTTTATCTCGCGTTATAATGTTCATTACTCCGTGTTATGGACGAGATATTTCGTGTTGTAATTTCCTATCCGTCGTGCTATGGACGAAATATCTCGTCTATCTTGTATCAGGGAATCTGGTGTGTCTTATATTACGTGCTTCATATGTAAATTTAAAAATCTATTTTATCTATTAAACACATTCTATTGTTAATTTAAGGTAATCGAAGCAATAATTTTAGTTAATTGTATAGTGCAGAATAATAAGAATAGTCAAAGAAGAATTGATGCAAAGTATGTTAATTTATAACACCACAGGATGGAAATTGCGGGATATCTCGTTCATGGGATCGAGTAATCAGCGTTGTAACGCGGAGTATCTGGTCCATGGAATCGTCCACGTGAGACAGTGGATATCTCGCCCATTAAAACGATAGGGTTGATGCAATTTGCAATATAGAATTGATTCTAGTTAATAGTTTCTAGACACACCTACGTAGTGTAGAGAGCACATCGATTTGTGAACGTTCAATGAGAAGCTCGACGCGAATTCATTAAGGAGCGTTTAATCTTTATTGAGTAGCTGTCGTTCCGTCTTGGCAATTGACAAATTCTGCGATCGTCCATTCTTATTGCTTACGATTTCGAACGTTTACATATATGTACGTATGTATGTACACCGATCACATTGATACATCGAGCGAGCGCCTTAACACACTATTAATGAATTCATCAAAAAACTTTTCGTCGGCTTGTCCCAAACTATAAAAAACAGTTAGAGAAATTCTCGCCGAGACTTGATTTCCAGCAAGATGAAACTTCGATATAAGTAGTTGCGGTATATGATAATTTATAGAAGATACGTAATCAGTTTTCAAGAGGTGATAGTGTCCGTTTTCACGTGTAACGTTGCTCGTTCGTTTACATCGATCGAGCGACTTTTCATGCTGCTCACGTTTTTCACAGTCTTATATTTTTCAACCGAGATAAATTACATAATTTCTTATAAATCCAGCGAGGAAAATCTATAAGAAACAATGCATTGAAATGAGAAATCTTATAGAACTGTTCAATTGTACTTCGCGTTTGTCTCGTCTTAATCATGATATCATAATTTGAACCGAACTCTTACGTGCCCCGTTCGTTCAAACGTCGTTAATTTGCGAAGTCGAAAGTGTTCGCCGGGCTTAAGGATTTATCGAGTTCTACACGGCTCTGTTTAAACAGAGGGCGACTTTCGTCGTTGGTTTTTTTTATATCAATTGAATAATGTCGCCCCTCTATTTCTCCATTGACGCATCTTCCCAGTGCCGCAGCCTTCCTAATGGGCACAAATCTGCTATTCACCGATTCATAACGTGGCACGCGTTTTTACCCGCGAGAGACTGTAAAAGCGAGCAGCAAGTTGAATGCCATAAATGTTCTGTGCGAACTTGCGTCAATGATGTACGTCCCACGGCCGTGTCTTCCTTTTTTCATCGCTGACGTCGTTCCTTTGCCAAAGGGGTGACATTTAATTAAACGTTCAACTCGAAACAGTTTGCTTTTTCGCATTATGTCGCTTGTAAATTCTCACGGAATTATGGTCTTCATATCTTTTCGTTTTAGTCAGAAGCGATGGAAAATTCGAATCGGTATTGCTTGCATTTGTATTTGTCGTGAAGAAATGTCTTATATACATCGTGTGGTATATCATGCACGCATATCGATCGTTTCAAATCCATCTCTTTCATTAATTCTCGAAAAATAAGAATGATAACGCGACGTTAGCAAACAACTATTTGAACGCATAATTTCGTATCGAACGAAATGGATATCGCGTTTCGCAGATTACCGAAAGGAACGTCAAGTCCAAAATCACAATTGAAACAATTCCGAAACTCTACACGGCAACACAGTGTCTGTTAATACAACTTGAAGTGTCTGTGAGAAACAAATTTCGCTTCTGCACACCGTCGTTGTTGTTTCCAAACGTTTCGATAAGCTCCGATATTAATTTCTAATGATTAAATTCGTACATTAAATTTACGCAATTTAAATTTAACCGGTAAATGAAATCTGAAGATGAAACCGCTTATTTAAATTTGAATTTGATCCGGTGTATTAATCAGATTATTAATCAACTTAGAGTAGACGAGTAATTTTGGTGAAACGAGGGATTCACGTGTTTGGAATTTGGGTGATATCGATTCGTTGGTAAATAAAATATCGACGCGATAGGCTGGTCACGTGAGACACGAACAAAGTCGGCTCGAGACGCGCGCACCGAGCAGAGTCAGAAAAATCAACAGGACGTTGATGGACGTAGCCCTTGACGTAGCGTTCCGCCGATCACCGCCGTGCATCGCTGCTGGTTTCTCTTCTTCTGCAAACAGGAATATGACAATGAGAAATGAATGTTTGCTCACTGCGCCGGGGAGAGCAGCGAGTAAAAAAAAAGAGGGAGAAATAAAATCGTGGTGGAAAACTGTAAAAATAGATAGGTATCTAATCAAAGCTGGAATTAAAAATTGTAAACGCGGACGATGCGTTTACGAAAAAATAATAAAAACATTTCGGCGATGAAATTCTCTGCAAATAACGAGCGATGTTTTTAGAATCGAGACCGGGACTTGGAAATACTTGTTGATTTTATCTGTCGCGATCGAGTCCCGTTGTAAAAAGGGGTATCCGTTTGTACAAGGTTAAAATGAAAAAATTGACAAAGTTAATAACGGAGCGCGAGCATTGACTGAAAAGGATTATTACCGCTATTGCTATCGCGTCAGTGTTATAATTGTTACGAGTGAAAAACGATCCATTCCATATAGATATCGGCGTTCTACGATTTGCCATTATATTGCTTTGGCGTCGGGTCGGTGTCAGATACGTATCTGTTGCGAACTCTATTTTGATCGATATTCTCCCAGAAACCCATATCGTCGAAATTGTTCGAAGTTTGTACAATAACAGACCGTGAAACAGTAATCAGGATCGATACGAAATCGAAAATTCGCCCGTCATGATTAGAACGTCATTATTTCGAACGTGCAATAGTTTAAATTGCTACATCATTGTTATAAATCGTTCTCTCGATTGGAGAACGTGTAGCTGACCTTCGATCACGTGTATCATGATATAAGCCGGCCTGGCGTTGCTCGGTGAGCAGGTGTAATTGGCACCATGAGAGAGTTTCACTTTGTCGACAACGAGGATCGAGCCGTTCTTCGCTGGTTCGACTCTGACGCCCGGCTCGTCGTCATAGTTGATCATGCGACCCTCGCGATACCAGAAGATGTAACTCGGGGCCTCCGTCGATGCCATTAGTTGACACTCGAGTCGAAGGCTGGATCCCTGCTTCACGTGCAGGTCCGGTCCTCCAGGTATCACGGAGTAGGCCTCCGTGATGCTGAGGCGAATGAATCGTTTCTGGACCGGTTCAGTTTGAACCTGTCTCACCAGACAATTTCTCGTACCGTTTCCCAATTAATATCGGAGAGTAAATAGAACATTGGATTACCTGGCATTCGTAGATCCCGGCGTCTTCTCGTTTCACATTCTTTATCTGCAGAGTCCAATCAGGGCTGTTCGAGACGATCATGAACCGCGTGTCGATCGCGTGAGTACGTCTACCCAATGTCAATAGTTGTTCGTCTACTTTTCTGATCCAAGTCACCTGAAACAAGTGGTTCAGCCTGTTAGTTTTGCCCAATTTTGTCAAATGCCCAAATCTTGAGGAGAGTCCATCGAGATAGAAAATGTTGGTTGGTTTGAGACTACGCGAGTTTCAGCAATTCAGTTTACCGTGCATAATTGTTCGAAATATGAATGGTTTTTACCATTATTGGATATAAATTCGCGTTGCTCAGATCGTTTATTACGAGATTCACTCTCCAGACTGCACTCTAATTGCATAAAGATCTTATTAAGGACCCGGAACAGAATCTGTTCGCCGCGATGTTCTTAACGACGACGTTGAAAAAAATCGCGTAATTTAATCCTCGAGTGTACTCGATGCTCGCGGCAGGTACTTGCGATTCGATTTTCCGATGTAGCTTAGAAGATCGACGAGAGAACACTCGAGCATAAGCGAGCAGAATAATGAACCCGTTGACTCGACGCGCACCGTATCGCCAGTCAGCGTCTGCCGTTCGTTCCTGTTAACGTAGCTACGTCCTCCGACTTCACTCGATCACTTAAATTATCACGAACCTGTCGCACAGATCGGAGAAGGAGCCGACGCCTTATAAAATAATTTACACGTGGGTCATCGTCGTAGTAGATACTTTTGAAAAAGGGCATGGCGATCGTATCGAGTGACTGTACGATGGGTCAACATGTCTAATTACCGTGTAACCTATGTACACGGAACATACGTGCGACTATAGCAAGCAACTGCATTCCATCGTACAGGAAACAGAATATTGGAGCTAATATTTGGAATAGCGTTAGATACTGCATTAATTAAATCGATATCGGTAACTTTGCTTATTTGCAAATTAGGCGCTCGAACGGGGGTACAATGGCGCATGGTAACTAGCGAATAAAGTGGAAGAGAAGATATATTTTGTCCAGATTCCTTCCGTAAACCCTGGCTTCGTTGAACACGCGAGAGCGTCGGCTTCGCGTTCGCGCGTGATTTCCCATTCATCGTCTCCGGGCCTCCTCGTACATTCGTGGATTTACGAGGATTCCGCGTGTTTATGGGAGTTAAAATCCATCGCGTATTCGCGTCGCGTACGCGCGAGCTCGACGCGATTCGCATAGACGCCGAGCATGGAAACGCGCGCCGATCCTCTCCTCGCGCAGGACGTCGCGTTATACTATGTACTGTACGCGTCCGAGCGGAAAGTGGAAACTTGGGTGGCAAACGCGCGGAAAAAAAGGTGTCGAGAGACAAAGCAACCTGGCGCCTGTGCGTCATGAATAAAAGATCGAAAGAAGGATCGTGTTCTCTCCATAGTAGCGTGGGTTGCTGCTCGGGCGCTTTGCCACGCCGCCGCATCGATTGTCTCCTTCGCGCTCTCCGATCCGTCGAGATATTACGGATCACCGCGTATCTTCAACTTGAGTACTTTACGCCTTTTTTCAAGACACTCCACGGTACTCGGAATTCACGAGCTCGTTATTCGCTTAATACGAACGAGCCAATTTTCCAAGCCGCGAGAAAGCATTCGCGGGGATACTTTTCCATTCGTTAAGCGCGTTCAACTTCGTCCTACCGCGATTCGTCTAGTCGATAAACTAAATTATCCGTATAATTTGCGCGCGATCCATTCCCTGGCTTGTATTTATCTACGCTCGGTTACGGCCTACTATGTCCTAATTCGTTGGTAAACTCGTTAATTTATGCCCGCCGTGAATCGATGCGCCGTTTCACATTTCTCATTTAGCTGCATAGATAGTCGCGTTTCATACTCCTCGATATTGTAAATCACAGTCGTATTTTTACATCGATCGATGTATATTCGTTTTCTATTCCTTCTATCGCGACGGAATTGATCGTGCATTTATTAATCCGTATCTACCATGCGGCTCTATGAATATCGTATTATTAGTACAGCCGGTTCATACGAGTTGATTCAGATCTATACGAGCCATGAGAATTCTTTAGTAATACAGCAATTCGTATTCTTATACTTTAATAATGTTGTCAATGAACGAAAATCTCTTAGAATTCGTGTAAAAAAATACGTGAATGAGGCGAGGGCATGACTGCGCGATGTAAATTGATTGTAAATAGAATCATTATAGGATAGTAGGAAAAAGGTACTACATTTACTATCATTAACATAATTATGTATATTGAAACAACATTTTCGTTATTTTTTTTGTACACGTTAATTGACTTTCGAGTCCACGAAAGCAAGCACTAAAGCTCTTTTTGCGATTATTGCTTTTTAATTATCTTCGTTTATTAGAAGCTCTCGGTGTTACTTTAGTAGAAAGTGCGCGAAACTTCCCATTCTTTCCCCGGTTCCGTTTTTAATGACTTTTTAACTGGCCAACTTTTTTCTTAACGGTTCGATTTTTACGGGGCAACATGTGTGTTCCCTTTGCTCTCTACGAAAAAGTTTTATCAAAGTTTAACTGGTTTATGGGAAAATCGGTACCGCGCTATTAGGCGCCTAGCACTGCCACATCGCAGACATCTGGCACTGTCTCGAATCGGTTCGAGGAAACATATTAGTATCTCCGCATTACGCTACTAGCATTTTTTTTAAGGGGGCATTTCACGACTTGAAAGAATCCCAATTTCCAGCTATATGAATGTGTAGAAATTTACTATTAATGGAAACTATATTTTGGTGTTTTTCTGAAGTCATCCCTTAAAATTTTTCCCTGTACACAGGATGAGTTAACAAGAACCAGGTACAATAACTAGTTGTTTAATGATTATACGAAGATACGTTCTATACGAACTGATTGTGCAATGCAATTAAGTGAACGTATGCTCATATTCTGGTAATCAAATCGTGTTCATGTCAGGCTTCCTAATAAACTCAGCGTCGGATAATTTTGAATGAAAGTTTTTGCTGACTCGCCTCGAATGGATTTCGATCAATGGTAATACAGATTAGTTGGCTCTTGTGTCGATTCTATCGCTGTACGATGTACATATGTACGTATACGTGTTCCGTGATTCGTCTCGAATTGGAAACACGGGTAACGAGGTGTTGCTCAGGAAATAATTATGCATATTAAGCCGATATTCGAATCATCTGTTAATTCTGGCATCGAACCGAGTACGTGCGTAGGTACGTACATACACGAGCGTGCGATAACAAGACAGACATATGTTCGCCGCTTTTCGTCGATGCCCCACCGATTGCACGCTGGGCGATTTTCTCAATCGAGTATGACAAGAATTAAGTCTCAAAGTATCTTCTATGGAGCAGAAACTATAACTCAGTCGAAAACTATAACTATGAGAACTTTGGACAGTGTCGAACGTGCTACGAATTATTTTTTTCGCGAATCGAATTCCCCTTCCGATTGATTAGAGTAGATCGGAGAAATAAAAATTGGCGGCGTGCTCGAGCCGGTATTCGAAAGGGAGGTTCACGCGCGGCATTCCAGAGACAATTCGCCGTTCGAGCCAGAAAATTGGAGAAGTTCCTGACTCCCGACGGGATTTCCTCTTGGATCTCGAACGGGCGTGTACCGATTTCCGAAATATTCATATTGCTCCCGGCCAGCGTGAAATTTATACTCGGCACAGTGGTTGAATATAATGCCGGTACGCTCCTCTCGTCGACGTGTATCGGCACACTGGCCACGATCCGTTTACGTGGCCATCTCGATGCTCGTGCAATCGTCGGAACCGATCAAAATATTTTACACCGCGTCGTATCAGTGTTAACTATTGACTTTTCTCCTGATAACGTCGCACGATGGTATTGGATATTCATGATATTTCAAGTTTGTTGGCCTAAACAGGCTCTATTTCAATTGAGGCCATTATCATTTGCACACATCGATAGTTACTTCGATAAATTCAATTCGACTCGAGCGTTCGTACACTCACTCTCGTGAAATTTCAACGTTCGCGTTCTCTTTAGTCCCGCAGATAAAATAAATAGAAAAGTTGGATATTACGTAAAAGTGTCTTATCTTTGTAACCGGTTCGGCGTTAACCCGGGTCGTAATCATCGAACGCTGTACGTACTACTGCACCGCGCGTGGCACGTCCTATCGAATGTTTTAGGTTTCTCTGTCGTATCAGCACTTGCAATCGTACCTATACCTTGGTGAATGTTCCAATTGAAATTCTGCTCGAGCGCGCATCGATCTTTGGCTACCACGAGGTGTCCTTTTGTAAACGAGTGCGTGTCGTGCATTCCCTGATACAACTGGCTGGAAGCTTGCACGCTCTTTATAAGCGCGAACCCGTCCCACGAAGCACTTCAAAATCTCATTATGCGAAGATAAAAATAATACGATTCCCAATGGAATTTTTATCAACATCGAATAATTCCAAATTGTCGAAGATTTTCCTGCAAGAGTTCTCGATTTTTTTTATTGCTTTCCTGGAAAAGCTGGCTTTTCATGATTTACAATTAATTAATATTAAACCTCTGAACACTATTTGCCTAAAACTTGTATGTACTGTGAATTACAAAAATTCAACCTTGATAGATTATATCTTATCGTTAGTAATCAACTAGGATATTTAATATTCTAATGTGTATGTATATAAGTGGGAGCGAAAGATAAGAATTGTATTTCGGGCAGCTTTTTCACGAACCCTGCCGTTCTCTCTTTGTTGGCATACTTTGCCGGGAAACTTAAATGGAAAGAAAAGAGGAAGAGATTTTGCCTCTTAACGTTGATCGCTACCGAGTGTACAAAAAGTAGCGGGAGAAATTTTCGCACCTCAATTATAGAAGATATCCACCCGAGCCATTCTCGACGATAAAGGCAACACGGTTGAAGCGGTATCGATATATTGTCAGGAATGGCCGGTTAAGTGGGCCATTTCCGAGTTTCTATTGTTTCCAAGGAGCTCAATTTGCCACTCTCGACCGCATAGACTCTTCCTCTGCCACGCTGCCGTTCGCGCACTCGTCTCGAAAAAGTAAATATATGAGCCATCTAATGCAAGAGTGGTATCAGTGAAAAAAGTTAATTCCGGGATAATGGTAAATGACATAAATCTTTTATAAAATATAAAATAATTGTGAAATTATTTCTAAAGATAATAATGCCGTTTTGTTCGTAAAATCAAGGCTCGTTTATCGTTGTCGTTATATTTTATACAATATTCTTCTTTCTATTATTTTTGGATTAAACGGCTCGTGTGTAAACTATGGAAATTCTGAAGAGGTTGTTACAGAGAAGTGCCAATTAATGGAAACTAAATCCAACGATTTTTACTTTGTACCGCGTAACGTTTCAAAGGTAAAAATTGCAACTTTCGAAGCGTTGACAGTTACGTTCAAAAATCTTCGTTTCCGCGTTTCACGGGACTGGCTATTCCGCGAATTAAAAAAGTTGAGCCGCGAGAACGAGCAAGGCACTTGGTACCTTACGCAACATTTAGTACGAAGTGGTAATTAAAAGTTCTCGGTTTTGCCGTGATTCCGCTCTTCTCGAAGCGTCCTCGCAGACGTCGGAGAGTTTCCGCGTCATTATCACTTTAGGACCGGTTCTCACGAGAATTAGGTCGTACAAGCGCTTAATCTCTCGCCGCGATTCAAGATACCGGACAGTAGACCGAACCAGTCGGACATAGCTACGTGTTTATTGCTCTAGACACGGCCCGGTATCATTCACTGGATTTAGATATGATGAACAACGCGAGATTTCAATGACGTTCTTACCGTTTAATCTCGAAAATTGCCGTTTGCTCGCTGATATTTCGTTCCCCAATCCGCCTCTCTCTAGTCGATTCGCAGTTGCTTTGTAATTAACTGCTGTCAACGGCACACGCGCTTTCGGGGTGGAGCGGAGAGGAAGAATATAGAGTATAAAGCTTCCTCTCGACGCTCTATCGCTTACGAATATAGATATCTCACACCGTTGTAATCGCCTTCACGCTTAGGCAGACACTTCGACCTTCTTCTGTCCGCCTCACTCTAAAAGTCGATACGGACTAGAGCATTTGTAACGAGTATTCAGCTAAATGTAACACTAGTCGCGTGTAAAGGCAGAATTATAATATGATAGGGTTAAACAGACTCATTTGTTATTGGTATATTGAGAGCTGGCTAAAAATCATTGTACCAAGCTGTACATATTAGATCATGCTCGTTGTTCTGTTAGAAACGAATGCTCCAGCTTGTGCCCGCCTTTGGCTCAAGAATCTTTCTACGCGCCGTGGAAATGATCTCACGTTCTTTGTTCGAACGTTCTTCCGGCAATAGTGGTAAAACAAAATCGAATTGTACGTAGATAGACGCAAACGAGCAGCAGTTTTCGCCCGCGCCACGGTGTCAGTTCTCGAGATAATTTATCGTCGGCGAATTTACGAGTCTCTTCTTCTAGGGAAATCAATCCTGCCTGTCCTTTCCAAATGGTAATGTTCTACGAAATTGTAAGAGTTTAGTGCCGCAGTTGCCGATGGAACGTATTATTCTCCTATCTTACGTTCTCTGGGAACAAATTTTGTAACCCATGGTTCGAATATTCGCTCGGAAGAATTTCAGTCTCCGGTGATTCTCGGACCAAACGAGATATAGAATATAGAAAAAAATCTGGGAATATATCTGTTAGATAGCAAACGGTAAATCTTCATGAATGGAAAATATACGACCTGGAACTATGAAAAATTCAAACGGTCCTGACCTTAGAATGGCTGATCATTTTTATAATAGTTTTCCTCTTTTCACGGAGAGGTGACAAACAGTTCGTACTAGATACTGAACAACATTAAGTGCATGCTAAATGCCTGGGACACGTAAATCCAAACATCTCATTTGATCCAGTGATGGGCACAATTTTCGAAATTGTAATGCAATGCGAATCTTACTTCCGAAAACTTTCCTAATTTGATACTCTGATTGTCCGCGCTCACGGGAAATAGAAATTTCCCTTGGTAAATTCGTAGCATGTGTGAGTGGCGGATCGTCCATGTAACCAGTCGGCTGGACGTTGGGAACGTTTCTCGGCGCGTTGACGCTTGCAACATTAATACCGAGAAATTACGTTCCAACTGGAAAGGGGAAGGGTTTCCTCTCTCGGACGATTCTCCCTTTCATCCGGCTGTTTGGTCGGTAGCTCGCTGGCTTACGTTACATGCGCGCGCGCTCGTCGAGTGACCGAGTCGTTGCAGTTGCGTGAAACGACCATGTTCTCCGTTCGAGATACGTTTCCCGATTTCCGCTCTTTGCTACGGTGACCTCAGCCCGAGGCTTGCATGCAGCAGCACGCTGCTCCCGATCATTTATTAACGAGCACGCTTCGCGAGAAAGGCGCCCCGGCGCGTGTATGCATCGAGGTTTACGCTAGACTAAAATGCACCGCGTCGCGACGCTCTGCTCTTCGGCTTACTGGTCGGATTCGAAATGGACCGGCGCCAGATAAATAGTTGACGAACCGGTGAAACGTCCGACGAAATTTTTACGCGAGAGGTGATTCTGATATCAACGTTCAATTCTTAACGACGGGAAATCTGGTCAGCCGGAGGAGAAATAATGTAATTCGTAGCACACATCGAACAGCGTCGCACGTATGCACGGGCGTGTTTCCGGAATGCGCAATGCGTGCGTGCAATCTGCAGCGTGGCTGTTTATCGATGTGCCCGCTGTACACAAGAGCATGCAAACTTGTGTACAATGCGCATATTTCCTTGGTGCGCATTGGCCCGTGTATAATGTGCGCACGGAGAGGACAGCCTGTGGCTTGTGCACAAGGCACACAAGCGGGTCCACTTGTACACGTAGTTCGCCTCGCGCTTGTATACATCATCTAGAACGTATATATTTGCTCGTATACATATACAGGTATACTCACTACTCCGGGACCGGTGGATTTGCAAGGTAGCACGGCGCTACCGCCGATCTGCGCCAAGACGTCCTTCACGGATTCAGCTACCGAGCGAGGGACGTCGTTGTCCCGGTTCCGAGACTGCGTCTTCTCCGTGGCCGGTGTCTTTTCACCGCGAGTAGCACTATCTGGAAATATCGGAAAGCGGCGGCTTGTTTCAATGAATCTGGGTCGAATGGGGAGTGCCGGGGAAATTAACATTATGTTGTGTGCGCGTAGTATCGTGTGTGTAGGGAAAAATATGTGAGGGAGAGGAAGTTTTATCTTTTGTATGAAAGATTTCCTCGGTTGTCTGACATAGGTTTTGACATACAGCGAAGGTATTCCATGTATGCCTGTATCCGTTCTCCTTTCATTCACTCGTGTTTTATTTGCTACGAAAAATGTACTGGAAAATAGACTTCCTCTGAACGCGTAGATGCGAAGTCGCGCACTCGGGTTAAAAAAGTTGACTTTCTTTTGCATTTGCTGGACGAGTTAACGAAGGTCTTGAAGGAAATAAATTTGAAAGGAGCGACGGTCTGTAGTGGCATATTGGGAAAGTTTAGCCCAGCCAGTGGAGTGAAAACTTCCCACTGCGGACATGTATTTGTCTCGTTCTCCCGCGCGCGAAACTCCGGTCGTTAAGCTTTTATCTGGACGGTTTTTCCCTCGTTTTTATACGGTTCGCCGGGATGTTTCGATTTACGCGTATCCGCCGCTGATTCAAGAACAACGGCTCCGTCCGAACGAATAATCGGCGGAGTTTCGTTGGTCGCACGAGCTACCCCGGACGACGTTTTCCGCGGACCGAAAGTCCCGGCTATCGAATAACGTACGTGTAACGACTTGGAGCCAAGCCGAAAACTCAAGAAATTGCATTACTAGAAAATATCGTACGACGTTCACGAGGACCGCAGAAGTCATTGCGCCGGATTGGACGAGCCAAAAACCCGTGCCAACCTCCGAGCGAAGAGCCTTCTCCTCCCGTTGCTCCTCGTCGCCGTCGTCGTTCAATTACTTCCCTCGTCGGATCAGGGATCGCGCGGTAGCTTGCAAATAAGATTACCCGTGGTAACTAGCGGCACTTTCCTATACGTTTCTCGAGCGCATCCGACGGTACGTTTCGCGACGCTTGCCGCGAATACGGGAACGCGTCGATGAAACGAGCAAAAAGTGTAAGACGGCATTCAGAGAGATTTGTATCGAGTCGGGTCGGCGAATCGACGCCTCGTCAAAAGTCGTCGTCACGGTTCTCCTGGTCAGATTCGAAACCCGGTTGATTCGAGGGCCGCTCGTAACTGGGTCGATGGTAATTACCGAAGTTATTCGCTCGGCTATGTGGACGAGACGGAGACAGAGTCGTAGCAGCCACAGAATTTAAGATTCGTTCTGCGTATACGGCGACGCGCAAGGGTCGTCTCGCTCTCTCTTTCTTTCCCTTACCCGCGCTTCCCTGGCCATCTGCCTACGGTCCTGCCATCCTGGTTGACGAGCTTCTTAAATTGCATTACCTATTAGAGCGAGTGCCTTAAAATTGTACCCTCCTCTGGGCTCCGGCGTGCTTGCTAATTTGCACCGGCAAAGAGAGGGAACGGTAATTCGGGGTTAGCTCGGCTTATCTCCTGCGCTGCAATACTCGCAAAGGGGTCTCGGGAACCTCTCTCTTCTTCTCTGCCTCTTGATTAAAGCGATGATTTTTTGACTCCGGCAAGATGGAATTACGATGTACTCTTTACGGCAACGAAGGAATCCGAAAAGGTGGACATTTCCCAAGCAGCAGAATTGTAAAGATCTTCCGACTGATCGTACGGTATTAAGAAAAACAAAAGTAATTTATTTTCATGAATACTGTTTCGAGTGTTACTCGTGAGAAAGCATTCCTCGTCGCTTTGTAACGCGGAAGGGTCGATCGCGATGATTCCGAAAAGAAAGTACGAAAAATTGTAGGAAACGTCGGTCGTTAAGTTTCGGCGTTGAGGAATTTGTCGTGTTTCCGATCCTTCTAGAGGAACTCGCCTAAAGGAACAGGCTTTGATCGGAAAGAAGAGGAATAGCCGAGCTGGGTCGCCGGCAGCGGTGGCTATCTTCATCCGTAGGAAACACCGGCGGCGGTACCGAGGCGAACTTTCTCAATTAGTGCTCCAGTCCAATCGACCAGGAGCTCATTTGTATTCACGATGAAGCTCGGCTCCGTAGCTAGAGCAAACCGATAACTTCCAGCTCTCTTCGACTTTACCCTCTTTTCTCTCTCTCTCTACATCCATCGACACTTTCCCCCGGTCTAACTCCAGTTTTTCTCCCCGTTTCTTTTACGATACCGTCGCGTATTGCTAAACTCTCAGTTTAAACGTTCACTTTATCTGTTCCGCCCTGATTTACGCGCGGCTACTCGCGCGAAGAAGGGGCGAAGGCCGGGAGCGCGCCCGTCTTTTAACGCGAGCGTAACCGATATTCTAATGGCGGGCAAATTTAGTTTGCGAACTCCGTAGCTAAATGTATTCTTCTCGTTACGACTCGTGTCTACTTCGACTAGTGTAACAAAGGGGATGGTTCGAATCACGGTCGCTTCCATTAGGAGAAAATTTTCTTACGGGCCAAAGGGAGGTTAGTGGAAACGAATACTTCTCCTGATGGCCAGTTCTTTGTTCCTCGGGAGCAGACAGCTCGTTCCTTTTACCAGGAAAGACAAGTGCTGGAAAATAGAGGGAGAAATCTTGAATGGAACGTCTCGAACACAAAGCTGCTCGGGAAATTTGCACCGGTTTTATGGCTCACAGTTGTATCGTCGCCCGACGATCTTTATAATTTCTCGAAACAATTGTGCTCCGGGTAAATTACAGTTTCATTTCGAAAATCGACGTTCGCGTCAGGCAGAATCGAGAAAAATTGTTCGCGGAAAGGTGGGTAGAAAATGTGTACTCTTATAGCGAAAGGGAATAGTTTCTTATTTCCTGCGCGGAGGTCCAAGAAAACTTGTTTGCATCGTTATTGGCTACTTTCGAGTAGGTACCGAGACAGGATCCTTCCCTGCTAGCATTCGAAGAATGAGTCGATTTCCGTTATTTCCCTAAAATTCCTGGTTTCAGTAGCCGAAAGAAGCTACGCTGCCATCGACCCTAGTACTCTCCAAAGTTCAACTCCTTTATTACTCGGAACTACTTTTGAAACCCGTTCCATTAAGAAGATCTATATGTTCCCTATTTAGAATTATACCGTTGCATCAAAACCGAAAACATTTTCGTGGGAAAAATTATAGTATTCGGTAACAAACGACTAGTTATAACAGTGCGGGTTTACACGCTGCGCGTATGTTCGTACGCGAACACCGATTGGACGCATCGTTGATCGGTCCCGTAACGGGCGTTCGCAAAGTTCAATGCGGACCTTTATCCGTTGGTCAAAGCCCTTTAAGCATCGATCGTGGTTGGTGTGCCGTGAATAGTTGAAACTCCCGTGTCGATGAGACAGTGAGTGGCAACACTGGGTGGTCAGAGGGACCGATACAGCGCTTCGGCTTAGCCAGGTGCGCAGCTGCGCGTCTAGTGTACCACCGCGTCGATGCACCACCGATCATATTTACGCCCTGTATATCCACCCCCGCCGCCTTTGTTACCTGCTCTCGCAATTATCGCGTCAACCACGTCCAACGACGTCGTCGACACAAAGAGATGGATAATAGGCAAATCGATCCGCGATATTACGCGTTTATACGTCGAACGATTTAGAGATCTTCGAATTACTCATAAATATAACGTCGATTGTTCATTTCTGGAACGTCGTTTATGCGAGCAGAGAATGGATCAGATCATTTTTGGGGGTGTGACTTTCAAGGGTTAACCAGACATGGCTTTGGTAGCCTTGTACTGTAGTCGATTGAAAGTGGAAAGCGTCGGATAGAAGTTTTTGATATGCTCGTATCATTTTTGGAGTTTGGCTTACCGGTTGAATGTAAGAAGTAGCAGAACGACGCCAGTAGTAGCAGGATCGATCGAAGCGTGCCCATGATGGCTCCGATTCATATGTCCATCGCGCGTTCATCCACGAACCCGTCTGCAATAGAAAAATGTATGAATGAGTAGCAGTGGTATCGAGATCAGGATTCGTAATTCGCTTGATTCGAGATATTCTGTACATCTCAAAAAGCGTGAAATGTTTCTGTATAATTAAGAGGGCATTCCTAATTCTTCAAACCTTGAACTTATCTTAATAATTTTCTATCTCAAAAATCTCTTAATTGCCTTCGAATTGAAAAATCGCTTTTTCTAAATTAAATTCCTAATTAGTCGATGATACTCTTAGACCGCAAATCGTTAAAGTACTCAAGAGTTCGTTCGAGTTTGCATGCGTCTACGCGCATTCATCTCCCAGCGTGCGAGTTTGTAGAGGAAGCGAGGGCTCATTAGTTCGGGATTTCGTGGCGTTGTACCGAGTATTTCGATTAATCCAGGTAAAGAGCTAAATATCCGACTACTCTACTATGTTGTACGGACCTGATCCAGCTTCGATACGGACACGCACCACAGCCGGCCGGGTCGGAAGCTACTAGTGACCGATCATTCGGTTCTCACTTTATGTTCCACCCTTAACTATTTTCGTTAATAGAAGTACTAGTGTCTTCGAGCTTAAATGTGCCGGACGTAATTACAATCCCTTTTTCCATTCTAAGAATGATTATACTTAATTCTGGAACTTTATTTAAATATTAAGAATTCTGACGATTAGGAGAAACCTAGCGACTAACTGTTGAAGGCTTCTCGTTCGCATCAGCGTTGCGTTGAATTTATGTCACACGG